AGGTGAACGTGTAATACAATACATAGTCGAGATAGTAATTACCAAAATATGAGGGCGTTTTCGTAATTTGACCTTATTTTAAGGGGTTGGTCGTAATTTGCCGTATTTTGTAATTTGAATGAAGTGATGTATGTTTTATATTTAATTGAAGACGTAAGTGTCTGTTAAAAGTCCGGTCCACAAAAAATAGCCCATAACCACTAATTTGACCCACTTCATAGAACCAAGATAAAATCAATAGCCCATTAAATAATTAATTAAAGGGATTATTTTGTAGACCCTCATCATTTTTAAATTATATATAACTAACTACCAAGTGGATTACATTTTAGGGGAAACCCCCATCATTTCGATAATATTTTGACATACCTCTGGCTACCCTAAAGTTCCTATAATACCCTTCTAAAATCAGTTTTAAACCCTAGCCACTCACGGTCTCTCTCTTATTCTCTCCCAAATTCAAAATTCCGCCTACACAAACCTCCCACCGGCGAAATTGCTTCCCGGAGCCATAACTCTCTCTCCGGTGGTTGGAATTCGATGGTTTGACTACCGTTGGATTCCTCTCGTCGAGCTCTTTCTTTTGGTGGTGATTTCATTCAGTTTCGAACGCTGATCTGTTTCTGCAATTTTTTTTCATTCGAGAACGGTGGTCTTGTCGGAGTTTTATTTTGTGTTCCACCCGTCGAAATTTGACGGGTCACCTACCGTTGGATTCCTCTCGTCGGGATCTATATTTTGATGGTAATTTCGTTTATTTTTATGTTTTCAGATTTATTTCTATATTTTTTGCATTTGTGGCCGCGCAAAACCATTGGTGGTTACTCTCTATCTCTCGATCTCTTAATGTTTGGTGATTTTTGAGTGTTTTGATGTTTTTTTTCAAATTTGTTGATTTGCACTAAAGTAATTTCTTTTTGTTTTGATTTTGCAATTGCAGCTTAATGAAGGCCATTAATCCTTTCCTTGAAGGTGTCAATTTTTTTTTTTAAGTTACATTAGATCTGTTCAACAGACTGTATACATTACTAGTAACATGTAGTTACATATGCGTATATTTATGTATTTTCGATTTGTATTTTATTGGTTTTGATGTGATTTATAATAAAAATATTTAAATTTGTAAATTTTTGTTGGGGTTTTATGGATTTATTTTGTATAAGTCAGTATTCGTGTGTATATACAATTGATCGACTAAAAATATGGGGAAAAAACGAACATAACTATGAATTACTATAGGTACTATAAACGTTTATTCATAATAATGTTGTTTACACAGGTCGGTTGGATTCTTCATCCTATAACATTAATCACCTCCTATGATTTTGTACACTGGGATTTGTATGCACCATTTAATATTTCAATGGTAAATTAATTTTAAGGGCAATCGTTGGATTCATTTTGTAATACTTTAAAAGGTCTTTTTATTTTTAGGTCTTAGAGCCCTTGAGAGCAATGATTATTGGCACTCCTCTCGAAGATGCTCGTCATCTTGCTCAACGATATAGTAAAATGAGACAGGAAGCTGAGGCAGATGCATGAGTTTATTATATATCAGAATGTTCCAAAAATGCCGATTTGAAATCCTATGGTGGTGGTGAGTTATGATTCAACTTGCTCGAAGCGAATATATGCAGGCGACAGAAGTTTCTAGAAGACAAGCACGTGTGAGGGAATCTCCTATTCCTGAAAACGTGGTAAAGTTGCATGCAGCGGAAACTAGAATGCATGAACTCAGAGCAAACATGGCAGTACTAGGTATGTTAAAGATGAACTTCACATTATAAAAGAATGCCTTTACTGAATTGTCAAAGTTTAGGTAATGTTGAATATTTGTATTACGACATGGGATTTTATTATAATTTCCACAAAGCATAAGGACTATGATATAGCGACTTCCGAAAATTTTCTTATCATCCTCGTTTTATTCTTCTGAAAGCTAAAATCTCAGAATATTTTTGTCAACAGCTCTGTTTTTTACCTAAGAAATTATATGTGCCATAATTGTGTCCTATACTATTTTTTAAAGTTGTACTATATACTGGTCTATTACATTCTTTACCTGATGGGCTGATCCTTGCCATTTTTTTCTTTGCAGGCATTGCATGCTTTTGATGCCGCATCGGAGAAGGAACTAAGCTTGGCAGTGGGGGATTTTGTTGTTGTGCGAAAGGTAGCATACCTTCCTCTCTATCTTGTTATGCTCTCTTTTAACATTGTGCCATAGCATGTCTCTGATTGCGTGTTTGGCCTGATGCATATGTTAGTATATATGCCTATATGGTAATAGACATGACCACTACACGGACCTAGACCGGAATTGGCCCGTGGTAGACATGGCAGTTAATAGGGTCAGCTTGGTAATGGCTCGTGTATGTACGAGTTTGACTGTTGAAGATCCTGATAGCTTGACCGTTGAAGATCAACAGTTAAGATTAGTAAACCGTTAGTCAACAGTCAAGTGTTGAATGAACCGACGGGGCGAACCATTTAAACCGGTCTGTTGAACCGCCTACCCCGGCAGTTTCCCACCTAAATCTTTTAAAATTATGTATGTGTGTTTAGGTGTCAAACTCAAACCTAACTACTCGTTATTCGGTTCGCGATCGCTCGTTCAAAGCTCGTTTGAATTCGAGCTCGATTAAAAATAAATGATAAAATATGTATAACAAATCAAGCTACTCAAGCTAGAGTCATGGTCAGCTCGATTAAAGCTCGTCTAGTTCGACTCGAATGCTTATCAGAGCAAATTCAAACACAACCTTAAAAGCTCGATGATGATAGATCATATATGATAGATCATAGATGATGGATGATAGATAATGATGATGATGATGATGATGATGATGATGGTGATGATGATAGATCATAGATGATGGATGATAGATAATAATGATGATGATGATGATAGATCATATATGATAGATTATAGATCATAGATGATAGATGATGATGATAGATCATAGATCATAGCTCATAGATGGTAGATGATGGATGATAGAGCGTAGATGAACGATGAACGATGGACGATGGACGAAAACGATAACTGAAAGAATTTATGGTCCTGAATTCGTTTAATACAGAGATGTTATCTTAAGTGTTATGACACTTGAGAAAACATGCAGCGGAAATATAAAGATAAAAAGACAATACTCAGATCTAAAAATGTTCACAAGTAAAAACTTGTGAACTTGCCCTTTACAGGACGGAAAAATTATATTAAAACAGTATTCCAAGAATACAAATGGAAGATGTACGAAAACTTCTTCCTTATGAATGAATCATTAACATGATCATTCTTACATTCAAATCTAGAAACAAAAAGAGAAATATTAAAAATTCTAGATTTCAAAGAATGTACTCGTGAGGAGTACGTACAAACAGATTTTAGAAACACACTAAAACTTTCGTAGATAAACTTCAGCACTCGGTTTTTGTTTCTTCGAAATCTACATATTTCTTGAGTCTTGAGTTTGGTATTTATAGACTTTCCAAGCTTCCACTACTCAGCCCATGATCTGCAAGAAAACCAACCACAAGAGCACTCAAGAAAATGGGTTACTGGGTTAGTTAAAAAGTTAGAATAATATTCACAATTAAACCCACTAAGCACTACTTAGCCCACTAAATCATAACACTTAGCCCACTAAGTCATAACTAAAATTTAGTTTGAAAGTAAGATAGTTAAAAACACTTTTGTGGAAAACCCACGTGTTTCAATAACGATTGGTAATGATAATGATAATGATAATATAATACAAAGAATTTCGACCAGTGAACGGATATATTGGAACTGCTCATTATCGTGTGTTTCAAGGGACGGGAATCGGAATATACCGAGGACATGTCTAACCGGACCCTTACTCCAACCGTGAATTGTTAAGTTTCGACATGTAAACCGACGGTTCACGGCCCATGTTCATATCTAGATATCTAGATGGTAATATCTGATTTGTTTTGGTACTTGTATTGCTATCTAGATAATCAAATTACTTGTGTCAGGTAAATCCATCTGGGTGGTCAGAAGGAGAATGCAAAGGCAGATCCCAACGACGGGTTACGTGGAGAAACGCCAAACGAAGTTTGATAGCACCATCTCAAACTTCATATAAAAAGCTCAAGTAGTAAATTGGTCCAATCTGTAGGAAAAAAACATTTAATGAGAAGAGTTGCGTAGAGGAAACGAAAGATGTATCGAAACCTACGTGTTTTAGTTTTCCTCACTTGAATTAAAAATCCAAGAACAAGAGTAAGAGCACTTCAAAATGCAGGTTATTATGGACTTTTTTCTTAGTGCTTAAAACCAATTTCTATGCACCAACCCTGTCCGATTCTAGTTGTTTTCTATCAAATTGAAAAAATTGCAAACTTGATCTAAAAATATAGGCTATAACCATCTTTCTTCTAGTGTTTCTCCAGTCTTTTACTGTTGGAAAGCAGAAATATGTATTACAAATGTTGTATAAACCAAATGTTAAATATTAGTACACTACCACAAAAAATGGTAGAAGTGTAAGATGTCAAATTCGTAGTAAAAGGCTTTTTGCTACGATTTTACTAGGAATTTTCTCCGCAGCAAATGCCATTGCAAATAGCGGATTTTTAATGTAGCAAAACGATTTGTAGTAAAAAAACCATTTTTTTTTACTAGAGGTTGATCCGTAAATAGAAACTAAAAGTCGTCGTCCAACCAGATAATAGAGGACTTTTCTAAATCAGAATCCGAACATTATGAGTATTTATTTGATTTAGACATTTACCAAACTGGCATTTATAACAACAAGTGAGACAGGACTACACACTGAATCTGGTACTGAACAGAACGGGTGTTTATCACATTTTAAACAAGTACGTTGTAATTCATTTAAAATACTTGTTCCATTAGAGCCCCCAATAAGGTAGATGCCTACTTGGATTTTTTGCTATTTCATTATTTTTTACATGCATGGAAGATAAATACATATAAATAGAGATAGATACACGGTAGCCATTTAATTTGCAGAGAAATATAATGGATTTGAGTAGAGAAAAATCAGCAAAAGTTGGGTTCTATAAGCTTTTTCGTTATGCAGATAAATTTGATGTTATTTTGATGATTATCGGGAGCATCGGAGCCATTGCAAACGGCGCTTCGCAGCCTATTAGTACACTTACATTTTCCCAACTTGTTAATTCTTTGGCCCAGCCAAATCATACCCAACTCCTCCATCAAGTTTCTAAGGTGCGTGCGCGCGCGCGTGTGTGAAATTGTGGAGTAATAGCTTGTGGCCATACTAATTACTAAATGTGGTTTATTTTTAATTATTTGCAGGTGTCTCTTAAGATTTTATTCATAGCTATTGGTGGAGGGATTGCCGGATTTCTACGTAAGTTCGTTTAAACACCAGCATGCATGTGTAATTAACTAATTCAAGAATCAAGATGTACGATGTTAGTTACTTTAAACCGATTGAAAACATTATTATGAATAAACGTTTCGTAATATTTTATAAATAATCAATGCAGAGGTAAGCTGTTGGATGGTGTCTGGTGAGAGGCAATCGAGTCGAATAAGAGCTCTGTACTTGAAAGCATTGCTAAGGCAAGAAAGCTCATTCTTCGACACCGAAACCTCAACCGGAGAAGTGATGAACACTATTTCCGGGAATAACGTTCTCATTCAAGACGCCATGGGAGAAAAGGTAAATCTTTCATCAATCATCACAACTCTTGCTTGCTTTTTCCGACATCCGATTTTACTTTAAAAAAAAATGATGAATTTATTTGATGGCAGGTTGGAAAGTTCATAGAATTTGCATCAACCTTCATTTCGGGGTTCATTATTGCGTTCGCACGAGGGTGGCTTTTGTCGGTTGTTTTACTGTCATGTGTTCCGGCAATCGTCCTGATCGGAGGATCCCTCGCCTTGTTAACTTCAAACATGTCTGCAAATGAACAAGCAGCTTATGCAGAAGCTGGAAATGTAGTGGATCAAACACTTGGAGCTATTAGAACAGTATGTAATAAAAATAAAATAAAATAAAAACCCGTCAAATATTAACATTTTTTCATCTTCTAATTCCACAGTATACGTTTCGTGTTATAGGTTGCATCGTTCTGCGGAGAGACACGAGCTATTGCCATGTACAACAAAAAGCTGGAAATCGCTTATAAAGCTAGTACCAAACAAGGGCTGGTTTCAGGGATTGGACTCGGCTCGATGCTATTAATTTCCTTTACGAGCTACGCATTTGCTGTATGGTATGGATCGAGGCTGATCATAGACAAAGGGTATAACGGTGGAGATGTCGTTAACGTAATTCTCGCAATCATGGTTGCTGGATCGTAAGTTATTCAATCATGTCTTATATAAAAAAAAAAGTTTTTCTCGTATGTCTTGAAACGAATTTTATATGAAAAAAATGTTTCTTGAAATATATAATTAATCAGGTCACTGGCCCAGACTTCTCCATGCCTCGGTGCATTTTCAGCAGGGCAGGCTGCAGCATGCACGATGTTCGAGGTTATAAACCGTAAACCTCTAATCGATACATGCGACAAAAGTGGAGTCGTGTTGGAAAATCTTGAAGGCGAAATCGAATTCAAAGATGTTCATTTCAGCTATCCATCGAGGCCGGACGTGCAGGTTTTTTCTGGTCTCTCGTTAAGTGTTCGTAAAGGGAAAACGTTAGCTTTGGTGGGGCAGAGTGGGAGTGGGAAATCGACCATTATCAGTTTGCTTGAAAGGTTTTATGATCCTGATTTCGGAAAGATTCTAATAGATGGTATTGATTTGAACAAGTATCAGCTAAGATGGATAAGAGAGAAAATGGGGCTCGTTAGCCAAGAGCCCGTTTTGTTTTCGACCACTGTGAAGGAAAATATACTATACGGCAAACCTTGTGCTACTGATGAAGAGATTACATCTGCAGTCGAGCTTGCTAATTGCGCGAAATTTATCGACAAATTACCTAACGTAATCTTGCTTCTTTTTCCTTTTTGAACGTATATAATTAGTTGTTTGGTTTCGATTAATGACTAGAGAGGTTCTGTTTTTACTACAGGGGATTGATACAATGGTGAGCGAAAATGGGACGCAGCTATCTGGAGGGCAAAAGCAAAGAATTGCTATTGCCAGAGCTATTCTGAAAAACCCGAAAATTCTTCTTCTGGACGAAGCAACGAGTGCTCTGGATGCAGCGTCTGAACGCAGAGTACAGTATGCTCTCGAGAAAGTTATGCCCGATCGAACGACTGTGGTTGTTGCTCACCGCTTATCCACTGTTAAAAATGCTCATCTTATAGCTGTGTTACATGCTGGGAAACTTGTTGAGCAAGGTAAAATTATTACTTATTACTCGCACCATTCCTTAATAATCGTCTCTTTTCACATTTGCACAAGTATTAAGCAACTCGATAAATGTAGCTTGATTTTAGGAAATTAACGCATAAAAATGAACCTTTATCATTTTAGCTACAAATTGAAGTTACTTATATTATCTTTAACTCAATATAGGAACTCATGACGACTTGATTCAAATCCCCGACGGGGCATATCACCAGCTTCTTTACATGCAAGAGGGAAACAAGAGTGGACATATTAACAATTTAGCGAAATTGGATCCAATATCAAATAAAACAGATTCCTCGATTATGTCTTCGGGCAAGAAATTATCGAAAAGGTTTTCTTCAAGCATAGGATCGTTGAGTAACCGGTGCTTTAGCTTCGGACACGACACTAAAACTACAGACGAGGCAGTTGAAATATACGAAACGGATGTGAAAAACGAAAAGAACGTATCAATTAAACGCTTGGCCTATTTAAATACACCCGAGTTACCAGCTCTGCTCATTGGATCCTTAGCTGCAGCTGTACACGGTGCAGCTTTCCCTGTATTCGGACTCTTAATAGCAACAGCATTTGGAATATTCTTCGAAACGCGGGATGAACTAAACAAGGACTCTCGATTTTGGGCTTTAATTTTCATAGCCGTCGGTGCTGTAGTTTTCGTTGCAGCTCCTGTTCAGAACTATATGTTCGGAGTTTCAGGTGGTAAACTGGTACAGAGAATCCGATCCTTGCTATTCGAGAAGATACTTCACCAAGAAATTAGTTGGTTCGACGACCTTGCTAACTCAAGGTACACACGTTTGATTAAAATTAACGCTAGTTAGTTTTTCTTTTTTTCCTTTTTCTCGTGTGAAATATTCTCGTTTGATGCTCAGTGGCGCAGTGGGAGCAAGGCTGTCTAGCGATGCGTCGACTGTGAAAAGCCTTGCGGGCGACACGCTGGCGTTAGCTGTACAAAATGTAGCGACCACGATAGTAGGTCTCTCGATAGCTTTCATGACAAACTGGAAGCTAGCACTCACTGTCGTAATAGTGGTACCGCTTATGCTCGTAGAAGGATACTTCCGAATGAAACTTGTGAAGGAAGGTACTAACAAGGTAGGTTGTACTTTTTTGTTCCGAGGCGCGTTTCTTGAAAATCCAGCACAAGGGCAATACAAATAAATATAATTTTTTTTTGGTAATATATGAAGGTGATATTTGAAGAAGCAAGTCAAGTTGCAAGCGATGCGATTAGAGGCATTAGAACTGTCGCATCCTTCTCTGCCGAGGATAAAGTGATGGAGATGTACCGAAGAAAATGTAAAGTTCCAAAACGGCAAGGAGTTTGGTACGGGGTTGCGGGTGGGGCCAGTTTAGGCTTCGCTAATTTCGTATTGTTCTCTATATACGCATTCTGTTTCTACGTTGGAGCTGTCCTCACAAACCGTGGACAAGCAACGTTCGGTGAAGTCTTTAAGGTAATTAAAGAAAACAAAAGAAAGACAACCTTAAAGTTTACAAACTAGTGAATGCAAAGAGTAACGTCTTATATTGCAGGTTTTCTTTGCATTACAAGTGTCGTCTCTAGGCATTGCACAGAGCAGCACACTCCTAGCAGATTTCAACAAGTTCAAGAACTCTGCTGCATCCGTATTCGAAATCCTCGACCGGAAATCACTGATCGACTCGCGTGGTTGCGACGGTCTAAAACTCGACAATTTAAAAGGTGATATAAAATTCCAACACGTTAGCTTCAAATACCCCACACGGCCCGATATTCAAATCTTCAAGAATCTGAGCTTGCACATATCATTTGGAAAGGTATTCTTCGATTCTTGCTCCTTTAACTTACGAACATTGCATATATCGATGATGCTCGAGCTTTACTATATTCGGATATTTTTCATTTTTTTTGTCAGACATGTGCTCTTGTCGGAGAAAGTGGAAGTGGTAAGTCAACTGTAATAAGTCTACTACAGAGGTTTTATGATCCAGACAGTGGTCACATATATTTGGATGGTGTCGAAATTCGAAAACTCAATCTAAAATGGCTAAGGCAACAAATGGGGCTTGTGGGCCAAGAGCCGGTACTTTTCAACGAGACAATCCGAGAAAACATCTCTTACGGTTATTCGAAAACGCCAACCGAAGAAGAGATTGTTAGTGCAGCAAAAGCTGCACATGCGCACGAGTTCATATCAGCATTGCCCGAGGGGTACGATACATGTGTTGGAGAAAATGGGGCTCGATTATCGGGGGGCCAAAAGCAACGCATAGCAATTGCGAGGGTGGTTTTGAAAGATCCGAAGATTCTGTTGCTCGACGAGGCAACTAGTGCTTTGGATGCCGAGTCGGAGCATTTTGTGATGCGTGCGTTGGAGAGGGTTAGGGTTAGGAAAACTAGCGTGGTTGTGGCTCATCGGTTAACCACGGTTAAGTGTGCAGATGTGATTGCTGTGGTGAAAGATGGTTTGGTTGTTGAGGAAGGTACACATGATTTGCTCATGGGGATTCCTTTTGGTATTTATGCCACTCTAGTTTCTGTTACTGGGAATTCCAACTGACAAGGTTTACGAAAAAAACCGTTTTTGAGTGGATAATTACAACTGCCGCCATCAACTATGCATTTTCTTAGAAGAAAAACCCTTCATTCAGTAGATATATTTGACACCGTAAAGGTGAACGTGTAATACAATACATACATAGTCGAGATAATGTCTGTAATTACCAAAATATGAGGGCATTTTCGTAATTTGACCTTATCTTAAGGAGTTGGTCGTAATTTGCCGTATTTTGTATCAAGTGATGTATGTTTTGTATTTAATTCAAGACGTAAGTGTCTGTTAAAAGTCCAGTCCACAAAAAATAGCCCATAACCACTAATTTGATCCACTCCATAGAAACAAGATAAAATCAATAGCCCATTAAATAATTAAATTAAATATATTTTCATTTTATTCTCATTTCATACAACATCAATTAACCTTTTTTTCCCGCCAAATTGCTTATACCTCTTAAACTCATATTACAGGTACACAAAATTAATGGTTGAATTTTTTTAATTTTACAAATACTCTTTAATTACACTATCTTAGGGAATCTGTATATGATTAACCTATTTTTCAAAAGAATTCAGTCTCTTATTTCCATAGCCAGATTATTCTAAATTAATAAGCTTGAACCAACTATATTATGATTACAATTTACATTTTAACAACAATTAATCTTATTAATATAATATATATGCATATATTATATTTGTTTCTAGAAGGGATTGAGAAATACACGAGAATTATAAGGTGTTTGGGTGAATTATAAAGACCTGAAATTAAATAGGAGATCTCGTGATATAAAACACAAATAAGATTACCTTCTTCTAGAAGGATTCAAAATCGCTCTCCCATTCTACCGCAACAATCTATTTCCGACTGCAACACACACACACACACACACACAAACACGTGTGTGTATATATATATATATGTACGCATGTGTGGGAAGAGTCATTCAACAAACAAATTTTCCTCCCTGATCGACAATTTTTTTTTCTTCAATCTCCCGTCGAATTTCTGTATACATTAGAAAAAAAAAAGGAATGGCTGAAGAAGGAGAGGCAATGGGGAACCGAATTGACATAGAGAGCCAAGAGAAGAAATCCGATCAGAAGAAGAGAAATTTGGCTATGGCTGAAGAAGGAGAGACAAAGGAGAAGAAATCTGAAGAGAAATTGGGATACTTTAAACTGTTTTGTTTTGCAGACAGAGTTGACGTAGCCCTAATGTTGGCCGGAACCATTGGCGCCATCGCGAATGGGGTTTCTCAGCCGCTCATGACTTTGATTTTCGGCGAGCTCATCAATTCTTTCGGCGGAGCCGCTCAAACACATGTCGTCCATCAAATTTCAAAGGTATAATTCAAATATTCTGAAATTAAAACAGATTGTAATTTTTGGATGTAATTTAAGAACAATACAGAATCACTAATAGCCCAAATTGCCTCAGATTTATAATTAATTATTGCATTCATCTCAGCCTGTATATTCAGTTTGGTACTTTAGCCAGCCATGCATGTTGGTGCTATGTATATAAATCTGTTTGTATGTATTTTTTTTTTCATGTTGGATTTGAGTCTGATGAACTATAACTACCACCCTCTGCTCATCTTTTTACGTTGCAAAACTTTCAGATAGCTATCAAACTCGTCTACTTGGCGATTGGTACGGGGATCGCCTCACTTTTACGTAAGTCATACTTCGTTTTCTTTTCATCTTGAGTTCAATAACCTTCAAAAGATGGACATTGTAATTTAAATATTTTTCGTGGTGTGAATTTCACAAATTACAGAGATGGCGTGTTGGATGGTGACCGGAGAAAGGCAGGCGGCTCGAATAAGGGGGCTGTACTTGAAAACCTTGTTACGACAAGATATCGAGTTCTTCGATACTCAAGCAGAAACAGGGGAAATAATCGGTAGAATGTCCGGTGACACAATCCTCATTCAAGACGCCATGGGCGAAAAGGTAATTTAGGATACCTTCACTAGTCCAAATTAAACGAATATTCATTAATAACACGACGACGTATATTTGTTTGTTCTCTGTATCAGGTTGGAAAGTTCATCCAATTTATGTCCACGTTTTTCGGAGGGTATATCATTGCCATTTCCAAAGGGTGGAGATTAGCCCTCGTTTTAGCAACTAGTCTACCTGCTATTGTCCTGGCAGGTGGATCTGTATCCCTCCTAATATCGAAGATGTCTACTCGTGGACAAGTTGCTTATGCGGAGGCTGGAGCGGTTGTCGAACAAACTGTTGGAGCAATTAGAACGGTAATAACAACTGCTCTGTTTGTTTCTTTTTTCTTTTTCGATCTAGAAGCTTCTATCGCAAATTTTAACATTAAATTTCGTATGTAGGTTGCATCCTTCACCGGGGAAAAACAAGCTACGGAAAAGTACGACAACAAACTGAAAACCGCTTATTTAGCAACCGCCAAACAAGGCCTAGCTACAGGATTGGGAGTTGGTGCAGTGATGTTTGTTATTTTCAGTAGCTACGGACTTGCAATTTGGTATGGAGCGAAATTAGTAATCGGACATGGATATAGCGGTGGTGGCGTTATCACTGTTATTATGTCCGTCATTACTGGTGGAATGTAAGTAATTTGTACTAATCTTTTTTTTTTATGTCATGAATTAACTTCATATTCTAATCATTTAATTATCATTATTAATTATGGCTAAAAATGTACAAACAGAGCACTTGGGCAGGCATCGCCGTGTTTGAGTGCATTTGGATCAGGAAAAGCCGCAGCTTCGAAGATGTTCGAGACTATAAATCGAACACCAAAGATCGATGCAGCTGAAAATAAGGGCACTGAGTTGGAAAACATGAAAGGTGACATCGAACTGAGAGATGTTTATTTCAGGTATCCAGCAAGGCCCGAAGTGCAGATTTTTGCGGGCTTTTCGTTAAATGTCCCGTGTGGGAAGACCGCGGCTTTGGTAGGGCAGAGTGGGAGTGGAAAATCAACAGTGGTTAGTTTAGTGGAGAGATTTTACGATCCTGATTCGGGAGAAGTGCTCATCGATGGGGTTAACTTGATGAGCTTGAATCTGAAATGGATAAGAGGAAAGATTGGGCTCGTAAGTCAAGAACCTATCTTGTTCGGAACTAGCATCAAGGAAAATATTCTTTATGGCAAAGAAGATGCTACTGTTGCAGAGATAAGGAGGGCTGTTGAACTTGCTAATGCTGCCAAATTCATTGACAAGCTACCAAAGGTAAAACGAAAGAAAACAAAATAGTTAATTTATTTGCTTCTTATTTTTATTTATTTATTTTTTTTTAATGATTTTTCAATATTTTTTGCAGGGACTTGATACAATGGTGGGAGAACATGGAACTCAGCTATCAGGGGGGCAAAAGCAAAGAATCGCAATTGCTCGGGCCATTTTGAAAAATCCAAAAATACTTCTGCTCGATGAAGCAACGAGTGCTCTGGATGCTGAGTCGGAGCGTGTAGTGCAAGAAGCACTCGACAATGTGATGACAAACCGAACAACAATAGTGGTTGCTCATCGTTTGACCACTATCAGAAACGCAGACCTTATAGCTGTGGTTCACTCGGGGAAACTTATTGAGCAAGGGACACATGCTGAATTGATAAAAGATCCCGAGGGAGCCTATACACAGCTCGTTCGCATGCAAGAAGGTGGGGCTAAAACACAATCGGAAAATCGCATGCAAAAACAAGAATACATGTCAGAGTTGGATCGAAGCTTGGGCAAATCTTCAAGCAAGAGGATGCTATTTCGAAGATCGACAAGCAGTAATGAGTCGTCGAGACATTCATTTACACTGACCAACAATGTACCTGGTTATATCGAATTCCAAGAACCTCATAGTGCTGCAGAAATTGTTGGTGATGTAACAGAGGACGAAAACGTGTTGAATAAGAGAAAGAAAGTTTCCATCGCACGGCTCGCGAAACTAAACAAACCTGAAATCCCGATTTTGCTGCTCGGTTGTTTGGGTGCTGTTGTGCAGGGCCTGATGTACCCTATTTTCGGCCTGTTACTGTCGTCAGCTATAAGAATATTCTTCGAGCCTCCACACGAGCTGAGGAAAGATTCCAAATTTTGGGCAGGGATGATGGTTGTGCTAGGATCAAGTACTCTGGTCGCAGTTCCAATACAAAATTACTTTTTTGGAGTTGCGGGTGGAAAATTGATCGAAAGGATCCGTTCTTTGACGTTTAAGAAGATAGTCAACCAGGAAATCAGCTGGTTCGACGATCCTGCAAACTCGAGGTATGTTGATATTTAATTTTATTTATTTATTTTTATTAGTTTTTTCAAGAAGCGAAAATTGACATATATATTTTATTGTATTTGACCTTAAAAAATGCAGTGGTGCAGTTGGGGCGAGATTGTCTACGGATGCAGCCACCGTAAAGAGCATAGTCGGGGATGCTTTGGCGTTAGTTGTACAAAATATATCGACAGTGATAGCAGGCCTTGTTATAGCCTTTACAGCAAACTGGCTGCTTGCACTCATCGTATTTCTAGTACTCCCGTTTATCGGTTTGCAGGGTTTCATGCAAATGAGATTCTATAGAGGATTCTCTGCTGATGCCAAGGTTTGATATTTTTTTTACTTTTTTAATATTGGATTTATTTATATGTATAAATATATGCTAATAATAAATATAATGCAGGTGAAGTATGAAGAGGCAAGTCAAGTAGCAAACGACGCAGTTAGCAGCATCAGAACAGTGGCATCGTTTAGTGCAGAGGACAGGGTGATGAAGGTGTACGAGGAGAAATGCGAGGGTCCTCTTAGGCAAGGAGTTAGGCTCGGGATAGTTAGCGGAACCAGCTTCGGAGTTGGCTGGCTATCGCTCTATTGCACTCAGGCTTTTTGTTTCTACATCGGAGCTCTTCTTATCCAACACGGTAGAGCTTCGTTCGGCGACGTATTCAAGGTCATTCAATAAATCCTTTCTTATGATCTTATTATTATTTCATTTTTTTTCTTTTCGGAAATTAATTGTGTGATGATTCGAACGCAGGTTTTCTTCGCTCTAACAATGTCGGCCACCGGAGTTTCACAAGCAAGTGCAACGGCACCGGATGTCAACAAAGTCAAAGATTCCGCAGCATCTATATTCGACATACTCGACCGCAAACCGAAAATCGACTCGAGTAGCGACCAAGGCCTAACTCTGGCTAGTGTTAAGGGTGAGATTGAGTTACAACACGTGAGCTTCAAGTATCCGACCCGGCCCGATATTCAAATCTTCAGAGATTTATGCCTAACCATACCTTCTGGCAAGGTACATTTATTAATTTTAATTTTCAATTGTTAATTGTTTTCACTCTTAATAATAATTATTATTAATCACTTAATTATTCACGCAGACTGTTGCGCTAGTTGGAGAGAGTGGAAGTGGAAAGTCAACGGTGATTGCTCTAATAGAAAGGTTTTACAATCCTGACTCGGGTCAAGTATACTTGGACGGGGTTGAGATTGACCGGTTCAAGCTGAGCTGGCTGAGGGAACAAATGGGTTTAGTGAGTCAGGAACCGGTTCTCTTCAACGACACTATTCGAGCCAACATCGCCTACGGTAAAAAGGGTGACGTCACGGAGGAAGAGATCATCGCCGCCACAAAATCCGCCAACGCACACAATTTCATCTCCGGCTTGCCTCAGGGGTACGATACTAACGTCGGCGAGAGAGGTGTTCAGTTATCCGGCGGGCAGAAACAGAGAATTGCTATTGCCAGAGCTATACTGAAAAACCCTAGGATACTCCTTCTCGACGAGGCGACCAGCGCTCTGGACGCTGAGTCGGAGCGGATTGTGCAGGACGCGCTGGATAGAGTGATGGTCGATAGAACGACGGTGGTGGTGGCCCACCGCCTCTCGACTATTAGGAGCGCCGACGTAATCGCGGTGGTGAAGAACGGCGTTGTTTGCGAACAAGGGAGGCACGAAACGCTGATGAAGATCGAAGATGGGGCTTATTCGTCACTGGTTGCTCTTCACGCAACTTCTGAGTAAATTTTGTGGATAGATTCCAGATTTTTAGGTATAGATCTAATTAGGTTATAATTTTTCAGTTTTTTGTTGTTTTTTTTTAAATTCCAAGTACTCAAATATTAAATAATATAATACATATTGACTGATATTGCTATACGGGAGTTAAGTCCCGAGTGGGTGTGCTGA